ACTACCTCAATGTTATCAATAAACTCTATATACTCTCCAATCAGCTGAGCCACCAACAATAAGTCGTTATATATCACAATGCCATATGGCGAAAAAATGGGTGGTTTCTACCACTCAACGCCAGCACCACGGACAGCGACGAGCCCCGTTCAGACGGACGAGTCCATCCATGCTCGGAACGGAGGAGGGGGGAGAGAGAAACAGTCGCGATGCGCTGTTATACTCCATGTTATAAACCATACCGTACTAAATTGGCGGTGTCTGGTTGTTTAACGACGCATTTATATTTATGCCATCTAACCCCCCCAAAAAAACACTCTATTTTGAATATTATTGGTCGCGAAAGCCTACTACGTGTTGAACTGACTAAATTGAAATATGTAACTAGGGTGCATGCAACCCTAACCCTAGCGGCAGCCGATGTACTGTATATGTGCCGTGCTTAGAGAAGCGAGATACCATCGCAGATCATGGTAACTAGAACTTGTATTTCACTCAACACTGCAGAGATACATTATCTGGCAAGTCTGTGACCCCATAGCGATGGTATATATTAATATAAATCAAGTATGCTAGAGCCAGTATAGCTGGTGACACGCATGCTGTGATAGTTTGAGCGATGGGCCTGATCGGCACCTTACGGAAATCACCGAGGAAGTACGATTGCATATATTAAAAAAAACATATTTTGAGGCCGTTACATTCATCAATATAGTTGCATACGAAGCAACTGCTGTGAGCAAAAGGTTATCTGGGTTGGTGAGAAATCTGAGTGGTCAACTCACAACGTTGTAAGTTCATATCCGGGTCGCAGATCCAACTTTGGGAGAAACAAACTACTCGGGATCAATAACATCAACTCGGGATCAACACCGTCCAGGTCAGGGAACAATTCGGGGTGAAGAGCTACTTAAAATAAATACGTTTACAGTGGTTGGCCTGTGTGGAGAGACTGGATCGTGGGCCACATGCATTGCCAAGAGGTAAAGAGAGAGGATCTTTGTCACTCCGGCGTGGACTTTTTCACGTTTGCCGACTGTTTAGGAAGAGATGGGATGTGCACTCATCCCCACTGGTGATCAGCTAAGTGTTGCAAGCCGTGGATAGAGCAACTCTCCCGTTGTGTGGGGGATCAATCCCGCGTTGCACTCGTTTCATTACTCCAGTTTTTATTCATTTATATTTCCATGGTTCTCGTGTACGAACTTTACTATCTGTATTTAGTATCGTTTCGAAAAAAAAAAACATTCTTATCCAATGATAACCTGCCCAATTACAAAAAAAACTGTTTAAGAATAATAAAAAACTAATCTATAAATAATTTTAATGCACATATGATCCCGAATACAAAATCGCCAAGGCAATTAAATATTTTATTTTTGGGACACTATTTTTTTTTCCCAGGTGTGTACTTCACTCTGCGACTGTGGTACCAATCAATCCGAAATCAGTGCTACACTCCGCGATGTCGAAACGCAGTGAGGACGATTGCGCTGAAACCCTGAACACTCGAACGCACCGTGGTGGTGGTGCATCGTGTACAGCTCGTCGAGATGAGTCGATTGCCGCATCGCGGACCATCAACAGACTACAAATGACTGCATCACGGACATTATGCGAGAGCCGGGTGACTATGGTTCCCCGGGGTACCACCATAAGGTTCCCCGGGGTACCACCATAAGGTTCATATGGCAACTTTATTTGTGAAACCCCATCACTGCAATGAGGGTCTAGGAAACATAACATTCACAAATTAATGTGTACAGGATAAACACAACTCATGTGCAACTTTAAAAAAAACACACAATGTTTCCCAGGTTCAAACCTAGCCTGTTTGGGGCATCAGGTAACTCGCTCAACTGTTTTGTGTTTTGCTCTCCACTGAGCCACTCGAACCGAATGAAGGATTATTTATTTATGCTCCAGGCCCCTAGCGAGCAGTGTACATTCACGTAGGTGTGCCTAAGATAAAGGTGGGAAGTTCCCACATTTCTAACGAATGGACCAGTCCTCTCAACTCCGATGATCTTTAATATCCGGGGGTGCATTGCGGTAAAAAAAAAAAATGTTCATCCTAAATCCCGCAGGTCGGAGATCATCAACTCGGAAGCAATAAGGACCCGGGATAAATAACATTTCGCGCCAGATGTTAGGACTCTCCTTCCCTGCAGATTATGGGAGTGCCTGCAAAGTGTGGAGGGATCTGCGACAATTTAGGTATCGCGGATGATTAAAGTTCGAGTGTTAAACGTACTTTGAAGAAATGCTGTAAGTACAGGGTGGTCCAAATGTCTTATGACCCCCCCCCATATTACTTGACCCCTAACATTGTTTCCCTTTGCATATTCATTTCTGTTTTAAATAAACCTTACTTTAAAAAAATATTAGTTTCAGAGAATTAAATTAGGGGGGCGGCACAAGACATCTGGACCACCCTGTATATGTACGTACGCATGGAGGGGGGGTTAACCCAAACGCGTTCGCTGGCGTATGGGGGGGGGGGGTCTACTGACAATGTACACATAGGAAACGGGGAGGGGGGGGGTGATGCCTCGATAATAATTTGTCTACATTGGCCTTCAAATGAGTTAGATAGTCCGGCGGTGGACTGTCTGTTTGCTTAAACACGTGAATATGATTAATCTTTGATCGTTTCTGCGTCGATTAAATATCGGCCGTTCTATAGGATTCGGGGGGGGGGGGGGGGGGGTGGGGGGGGGGGGGGGGGGGGGTGCGTCAAGTGTACGTACGCAGGTGGGGTTGGTGGGGTTTAAAAAGTCCGCGTGCGTACAGGGAGAGAGGGTGGGGGTCAAGTTTTGACAGATTTTTTGCGTTCCTACTCAATGAATGGCCCCTACACTGGCAACCAGGTACATTTCAGTTACTGGTCTCACACACACACACACCGATGAGCAAAAGCAACACACCAATTGTGTCCCTTTGTGTGCTTGTCTCTGCGTGGCAGACCTGACCTGCTGTAACACTGCCGAGGAAGCAGCTGTTTAAAATTCCCATGTCACGATTCACAGAGGAGGGTTGGCTTCTGGCCGGCTCGCATTGGGCCGCTTGCATTGTCGTCTCGCACACTCTAGGGTACACGGCAAATTTCTAAGACTGCCCAGGGCCCCCGCGCTTTGGGGGGGGGGGCTCGCTTTACCCTCCCCCCCCCCGCGCGTCGACGTCACGGTGTCAGATGTAATAGTGCCCGCTTAGTGTGAAGGCGCTGGGGGCCCACAGTGGGATTTTCCCCTGGCCCAGCACTCTGCCGCCCCACGCCCTTATAGATGGCCCTGACCACGGCTAAAATCAGTGGCGAGTGACATATGAACTGGTTCAGCCGCTCCCCCTTCACAAACTGGCACTGAGGGACCGTCCATGAATTACGTCACGCACCTGGGGGGGGGGGAGTCAGACATGTGACGTCACATCAAAATGCGCAACTTTAAATAAATATCGACAACACGTTCTACTTAATTAAATAGACTTAAAAAAAGTTTTCTCCTACAACATCAGAGTGCATCGCCACATTAAATACGCACTACAATGACAATAGCTTAAAGCGATTTGAAGCATGTTTTATTTTTTTATGGGGGGGGGGGGGGCAGGGCTTTGTGACGTCATATTTGAGGGGGGGGTCTGACTTTTTGTGACGCCGTGTGACGAAGGGGGGGGGGGGTCAAACATCATCCAAAATCGCGTGACGTCATTTATGGACGGCTCCTGACCAGTGAAGTGAAGTATGGTTAAAGACAAAGATCCCACGTGTAGCCTTAACAGAAGTGTTTACTGTAACATCCCTTTGCACGCCATGTATTAGCTCTAGAATTACCACAGTTACCCAATCAACGGTCGAGCGATCAAAGGAACCATCACTTATTTAACGAGCCATTCGCAGTTTCACTGCAAGTGCTGTAAGCGAGTAGCACCTATGAAGGCCGGCACAGCACTCGAGGGGGTGAGAAGCTAACACCACGCCCGGCCACCTTTGTCTCCCTTGTGGCAATGTTTACACATCGCCTCACCTACTTATTTGAGGCCGAGTCGACCTAGGGGAGGTCCAGAACTGGTTAGCCGTGAGACTGAATCAGAATTAATATTTACTTATACTGGAGGAATCCGATGAGCTATAAAGCTCTATTTCACAGATGTCCAGTAGGGCGCTGGTCAGAAAGTTACAACAACAAACATTACAAAACAGGAAAGGATAGCAAAGAAAAGGAAATGTAAACAAATCACTTTAAAAACATATACAAAGTAAACTCAAATATCTTAATCTTATCAAAGCCCACCGAGGTATTAACTTATTTTTCAAAACTCTTTGGCTCTATTGGGTAAAGTCACGTAGGTGACTTTACCCAATAGAACCAAAGAGTATGGATCCTAGCAGTCACGAAAGCTTTAAATCTAGAATTATTTTTTAAAAGCCACCTGACCACAAAAGACAGCTCAACACAGTGGCCTATCACGTGGACATTTATAACATCGAGATGATCTAAATAATCTCAACGCATATTCATAAATGCGGAGGGTGGAAATAAACCAGGAGGACCCGGAGAAAGAAAAAAAAATCCAAGCGATCACGGGCAGAGAGACACGCAGACTCCAAATATGCAGCGCGCATCAGGGTCAACGTCCCGAACTCCTGTATACCAGGCGAAGAAGTTAACGTCTCGCCACCGTGGTGCCCCGATCGAACTGGCTTCGCCGGTGCTTCGTAGCGAAATTATTCGTAGCCAAAGTGACGTTACCGACCTCTAAAAACTCACAAACGCGTTCCGTCAATGACACTGTCCTCAAAAATATATTTGTGACGTATACTACGTTTCGGGTAACGGCCCTTTTACACGCGTCCACCCCACCCCCTCCCTCGCTTGTGCAACACCGCCGACAGCGGGCGTGCGTGCCCAGGCGGCTATGTTTGGCACTCGTGCGTACGTCTCGCGTGACACCTGTGGTGGTTGTCCAGCCTGCGGAAGAAAATTGTGTAATACCCCTAACGATGGAAAACGTCCCACCATTGGTTCACGAACAGATGTCACTGCTGCTGGGCAGGGCAGGCTCATCGTCAAACCCTTTCTTCTCAAGCTGCCACTCGACGCAAAGGAGGTGGGGGTTTTTTATGTAAATTCGAGCTGCAATTTGGAAACCACCCCCCACCACCAAGCTTGAATAAAAAAGGCTGCTTGCCGCACGCACGTCAGTTACAGCCATGCCTCTGGGGAAGGCGGACACCGCAAATATTTGGAGTGAATATGGACCTCAATGCAAGGTAAGTGGCCGGTTTTAATTATCGCACTATGACTTGACGAACCAAAACATATACGAACCAATCCACATACCGTACAATTCTAGCGTAGACATTTATATTTTACGATGAGCTAAAAGTGAGGATTACAACGTTTGTGTCTCTGATGCTGATACTGGCCACTCGTGTTATCAGCATCATCATCAGCCGTGGTCAATCCACTGCTGGATGAAAGTTTCCCCAAGCAGCCGTCATCTCTGCGACGTACGTAATCACCGGACCGGCATGCGAGCTGATCTCATCCCTTGTGCTGCCATTCCGTCATTGCTCTCGACCATCAGGCTCAGGGAATGATAGGCTCGTGGGTCATCACCAGAACGGATGAGCGCCGGCCAGCTTGGTCGACTGAGCAGGGAGACCGATTCGCTTCGTGTATTTGATGTTGGTTTTTTTTTGCTCCCTTTCCTCAGGTGGTGCAAACCGCGTCGGCCATCTACCTCACGAAAACCGATGACAAGACGGACACGTGCATATCGGGAACAACGTGTATCATCGAGTCTAAGGAAATGACCTACCTCGTCATGTGCGCGGTTCGTACGAACCTCATCACCATATATACAACGGCGTGTTTATATATACACATTTACTGTGTATTATAGCGGTAATTCCACGGTGATTGAATCATAAGAACAATGCAGGTGCATGGGACGTGGCTTTCTGCTCCGATCACATCAACCCGTCGTGCAAGGACATGTTGGAAACTGTTAAGAGCTCGAATGACACCTCGTGGTCCATTTTGCGATTGTCAAGTTCTGCGAGCCACGCTGTAATTCCGTCACCATGGAATTCCCCATACAATACTGTCTACTTGATATGTAATATTACACATAATGCACGGCCCTTTATCGATCAACTGCTGGAAGAAGGCTTCCCCACACCGTGTCGGTCATGGGGAATGTTTGGCCATCCTTTGGCACGTTGGCCATTGCCAATGTGTGCAGTGGGGGGCTAGGAGCCCTCATCTGAGCCGTGGCAGGGAATCGCTGGCTCGTGCATGCAGTCCAAAAGGTCCGAGTGATTTCCTGCTCTCATGAGCATCGAGGAGGTGCTCGTCGCCCGTTTACAGCCCGAGCCAGTGGTGGCAATTCCACATTCCTATGGTGGGGGTGTGTCTATCCATCGGATAGGCTGCCTCGTAAGGACTGAGTAAACCCCCAGACAGAATTGAATGTTGCAATAATTCTGTTGCAAGCTGCACACTCATCCACTGAGCCACCATCCCGGTTGTACCTGTTTTTGTGTACGTATACATATACAGTACATGTACTAAAATTTATATATTGGGGGCCACGAGACGTTAACTACCTTGCCTGGTATACAGGAGGGCGTAGGTTTGGGTCCTCCGTTTTTTTTCTCTCAACGTTTAGAATGAACATGAGGCGTTTAGAGTATTTGGCTTCTACACATTTCCACATGATAAGCCACTTCGTTGAGCTATCATTTGTGATGGCCAGGTTACTTCTGAAAAAGAGCTATACGGCTCAGTGGGCCTTACCTGGTAAAATAAAAAAAAAAGTATTAAAGCTTTCGTGACTGCATAAAATTACTCATTGTTTTTTTCGGTAAAGTCACGTATTTAGAAATACAATAAAATTATATTTTAAAAAAACAATCACGACGTTTCGATCACAATGCAAGCGATCTTCATCAGGTGTCAAGAACAAATCTAAATAAAAAATAGTTTAGTTTAGTGTTTTTGTTTATATTGCTTACCCTTGAGGTGAACCCTATAAACATACGCTCTCTTATAGCATACAGTGTTTTGCATTTGATATTTTTGCTTTGATAACTGTGAACCACGGACACAAAACATAATTTATTTCCCTTGTGGTCCCATCGTGTCTATCTACCCATCTCATTCACAGCAATCTGTGTGTTCTGTATTACAGGACGAAAAGCTAGAAACCATCTGTCACATAGAAGATCAGACATTCTTGCAAACGCCTGACAGAACACTAGAATTCGAATCGTGGAAGGTACGGACCATTTGAATATACTCCACGTGCATCGGCTTCCACACAACACACACACACTTAAACGTAAACAACACACGTGTACGGAGTAGGATGTTTGCCAACGTGGGAATGGTGCTAATTTGAGCCGAAGACAACTCCAAGTTTGTCAAAAGCCAGAAATACTTTTATTTGAATCCATAGTAACTCATGTTGTCGATGGTTAGGGTTCGAACCTGTATACTTGGCACTGTAGTGCAATCATTGCTTTGACTGCCGTTCTGTTGCACAGTGTTTACGCAACTGCCCATGTCAACCGATGTACACGGCCTTTGTTGAAACGTTAATTTTGATGGGACTCTGATGCTCCCAACGGTGCAAATCGTCGAAAACAACATGTCGCGAGATGGTGTTGCTCAACAAGTTCACAAATTACATTTGAGAAAAATAAACCCGTAATCCTGCCAACAGGTGGATGGTGACGATGACCATCACAGCGTAAATGTGGCAAGGTCATAGCTTACAGCCAAGTACTGCACTGAAATCAAAGAATTCTCTTCTCGAATCCCCAGGGAAGAAAAATGGTCCTCAGCTTTGGAGATGAAGAGGAGCTGGACAAGCTCGCAGGGTCCCTTCCACCCCACTTAGTCAAACGCAAAGGTAATGCTCGTGAAACTGCCGTTTTGGTCCAGTGTCGATCAGAAATGGCTGGTTCAGCAGTAGATCGAGCAGCCTGTAATTTGGAAGGCTACCAGTTCAAATTCTTGCGTGGCTCAGGCCACATAAGATGTTTCCTTGTTCGTGTCTTTGTTTGTTGTGGTTGCACCCGAGTCAAGAGCCGCATGGCTCACAGGGCTATTCCTAATAAATGAAACTGAAACTGAAAACATCATTCCTGTAGGGTCAACTAAACGCGTACAGCTTCTGCAGTGATTCTTCAATGGATAGACGACTCGTGTTGTCGTCGTCCCCCGCCATGGGAATGTGGAATTTCCATCACTGGCTTAGGGCTGTAAATAGATAATGCCCATTTCGGAAGGAAACCCGCTTTGACCTTTGAGCGCAGCGTTTAACGCACAACAAGGACGTCGGTGGCTAGCGGGGTTTGGAGCACCGAGGCGGCACGACCCCGGACGGGGAGGGTCCGAACCGGGCGGCCAAGGCCGATTGTGTGCACGGGGGCCCTCACGCAACAGCCGGCCGCGTAGCTGTGGTGCCAGACAACACGGACGGTGACGCACAGGTGGCCCCCGACCCCGCGTCCTAGCGGCAGTCTTAAACACGATGGCCGCCCGCATTCTGACCCGGATCGGCGCAAGCGCTCGCTCTCAATAAATGGATGAAGCAAACTCTCAGGTGTGCATAGTCGGTGGTCTCGGCCCAGTCATTAATGACCGTACCAAAAACCCATGATATTACATTTGGGTGTTCATTTAAGTCGGATTATGCCAGCTCTGAGACTTAAACACTACACAGTGTTTGGAAAGACATTGACAGTTTGTTATGTGAATGTCATCCTCCTTTGCTGCAGAGTTCTAAAATATAAATGTATTTGCCTCATTCCATGGGGATGATAGCAAGACAAAATGAAGTGGAGAAAATAGACAATCATTGACCCTGAAATAATGCTAATACCCGTGTGTTTGATTTCTTTCTGTTACAGCCCTTTGTAATTTCACTGCCTGTTTACTTGTCTTGTTTTACCAACTGTTTAAAAAAATTAAGTGACCAATTATATACATTCATTGAATATAAATAGCAGTTATAAGCACCTGTTTTATGTAACGTACACTTAAAATACCTCTGTTTATGATATTTTAGCAATACACAAACAATGCCAATATTTCCACTCGTCTCATCGTCAGGTCGAAAGAGATTAATTACATTAATTGTTGTATTTTTTAACAGAGAATACAACGTCGAAAATTTCCTTCAGAAACAAGATGCATCTTCCCAAATTGAGGTAATCATAACATCATAATCACACAATCATCGTTTACGCTTTTCAAACTCCATGTAGCATGTCCGTGTAAAGATGAAATAGGGTTCCATGGGAAATGTTGTAATAGAAGCATCCTTTCTTACCGAGTGGCTATGCAATTAAGATGAAAACGTTCCGCAACTTAAATTCACCTCGTTACACGTGATCAATTTTGCCAAGCCAAGATTTGATTTAAGAGGGACGTAATCTGCCGATTAGTATTCTCCCATTTGTTCCGAAGGCCCCCGCAGTCCAATGGGTTGGTTGGCCAGTGTGGAAGAGTCGAAAAATTACCCTCTAGACCCTAGCGGAGATGTCCAAACCTTCCTTTGTTGGAGGCGCATCCACTGGCAGTGCCTTGCGGAGGAAATTGCACGGATGCACCTTTTTAGATGCTTACGGAAAATGCATACCTGATTTATTTTCTCTAATCGCCGTTTCTTATGTTCGCACAAAGGTGGCTGTCAGGGAGGAGCCTGGATGTTCAGGTAATATCAGCATACCAGATCACATGCACGTGGTGTGTGTACACGATAAATAGATCAGCACGTTTCCAAAACATGCCCTCTATGTGGCATTTCAGATGAGCCGTTGTGCTACCCACGCCGAGTGATGCTTTGCATATACAGCTTACGCTTCACGGCAGCTCCCACAGTTACGCAATAGATTACAGCGCAGTTCACAATTGCCAACGCGCGTACGAATGGCAGCGGTAATAGCCTGTACGCAACGAAATATTCAGCAACGGTGCGACGCTCAATCGTGCATTGAGAAATGTTTAAAGACGTGGCTACAGGTCTGTAATCACCATGGACATGCTCAGCCCTATTGTCAATCCACTGCTGAATGAGCGCCATGCCCACACTGTGTAGAGCATGGGGGTTTTCTGAGCATACTTCACCATGCGAGTTTGTGACACCGGGAAGCATAGATGTAGGAACGTTGTACAGTACAACAGTGGATTTTGATTGCATGCCCTCAACGTCGCCCCGCATCCTTTGACACACAATAAACAGGGAGTTGTGGTTACGTTAATTCAAACCTTTGAAGTAAGATCTATTTAAATGTAACTGTATCTTGTCTCACCAGCCGAATATCCAACGAAAGAAAAAGCAAACCCCAGAAGGTACGGTTCGCGCGTGCCTGTTTACCAGTTATTTTGCTGCATTTTAAACGCGTGGGTATTTACCGCATCAATATATGGGCGCTGTCGGCACAGCGCTCCAGTCGCAATCGGTTAGGCGGGTGTGCGTCCAAATTCTGGTCAGCTGCAGACTCGGCTCAGCATTTCTCTGGGGGGGAGGATAAAAGTTGAAATGAAACTGTGGTCATCCATAGGATAAACGTGACCCTGGCCATCGTAGTGTTGAATTTACCACCACTGGTTGGGGACGGACAACGGCGTTAGGGCCACCCAGCGCTCGTTCAAGTTAGACGACACTTGACCCAGTGCCGGATTATCGTAATAGCAAAAGTAGCTACATATGCTGTAGCTACGGATCGCGCACTTTCAAGGGCACCGCGCTAAATGCTTTCAAGCTATCAATTCCGGTTCGGTGATTCTCCACTTGCTCTATTACCATAGTACTATACCGCCTTCAACTTTTATGAACGGCTGGGTGTTTAAGGTTAGCGATTTGTCGTATTATCTGGCTGCATAGCAAATGAAAACATACAATTACTTTACTATGCAAGTTCAAATTTAGTGTTTTAATATTGACATGTTTATTTATTTATTTAGGGCCCCTTTTATAACATCACGTGCTACAGGCCCCGCACGAGCTTCATCCGGCACTGCCTTGACTTAGACTCTGGCTTCGCCCCCAGGCAACGTTAGTGACGGATCGTTGAGGTCGTCACGTTGATGTGTCCTGTAACTTACTTCCGACTTGATTCGGCGAATGTCCCAATTGTATGAGAAGCGACCCACGAGCATCCCACCCTGGCAATGCCCTGAAGTCGCATGGTCTCCAGTAGCGAAACAGGTTGTTGTTTCCCCCCCCCCCCCCCCCCCCTTTAAATGACGATCCATTATGACTTCGCTTATTCGTCTCAGCCGTCGGGGATTCGAAACGTTGCCTATTTATAAACACAGCTGATGGAGGAGAATGCCTTTGAGTAGTGTTGCTGCGATATGGCGATATGGCAATGACGATAATCCATGAGATCCACAATAATTGGGATAATTTTGCTAAACATCGTCATGTTGCGATTACCGTTGCGCATTTTGTTATTCTCTTAAATGTTTAATTTGCCAGAAAAATATGTACAATGTAAAAATGATAAAAGTTGGCCACAATTTAGTAGAAATGCATAGCGATTACCCATTAAATCACTGCTCTGTGAAAAGTTTGCCGTAGTAACTGATGGCACTGTGATTATATGATGTTATGATTTTCTGACAGCATCCGTTTTATAAGTGTTAAAGCTTGTAAAATTGCAAAAGATTGGGAGACTCGTGGCAGGCTTGTGTAGAGTGAACTGCAGTCGAATAACTTTTACGCTATCTTGATTTATGCTTGAAGTACATCAAAGCAGTGTCAAGATATTTAATTATTTTTTGAAGAAAAAAAATCTTAAAATCATAAATACAGGAGGTGTTTAGATGTTCAAATAAACCAATAGATACCTATTACAAGGCATACATTCTCGATTAATCACACATACTTGTAGTAACAAAAATATACGCAAACAAATATGGTTGGTAATGTATGTAACTGTCCCTGAGACCGATTGACCGACACCAGAGACTCTTTTATAGCTTTGTCTCACCCGTGCTATAGACCAAAGGCTGCCAAAAGGCAAACTGTACATGCAGCACAATGCAAACACAAAAAGCATTAATAGCTCTGGTTAAGCAAGGTTATAGCTTACATGTGTGCGTGTCTCTGGTTCCGGCAGAATCAAAAGCTCCCAAGCCTGGACCTCCTCCACCTAAACCTCCTCCCTTATCCACACTCCCGAGCGGTAAACAATCACCATCGTTTCTGCATTCCAACAGTGGGAGTGGGGGGGGCTGTCTCTTCACCGAACAACCACTGTTGAATTCCCACGCAGTACCTGTAATAAAGCGCTCATTTCATCATCCGCGGAGATGTATTACGGGTTGAGTCAACGCCCCACTCGGATTTGAACTCATGTTCTTGAACTCGTGATTGTGAGTGAAGCGATTTTTAGAGCATCGCCACCTCGCTGGATTTGGCATCCAGAGGTCTCTTTCTTTGCAAGCAGATAACTCGAAATGCATGTGTTGGTTTTGGTGGTGCGTATCCACGAGTCCATGTTGTTGGTTGAAATCGCCCGGACGAAATTGTAATCTTTACTTTAAATCGTGATACGAAGTGGGGAGATCGATGTTTACAAAGGGACTCTCAATTATTTCGCAATGTTGTTGTGGGTAATTCTCATGCGTGCATTTGCTGCTTGTGCAGGGACACTCAAAGGCCTACTTTTCCACATTGTCACCATGGTGTCATTTTACACACGTTACTCCCTGCCTTTACAATCGTGTTTATCCCTGCGCTGTGCCAAAAGTCAACAACAAAAAACAGATGTGGGAATTGAACCGATGACTTTTGAGCAAATAACTTTGGTGGCAAGCGTCCAAAACGACAGGTTAACCATGCTGCGCATGCCGCTGCATCATTAGACCATTTCACACGTAGCTACGGGTAACTCGTAATGATGCATCGGTGGATTGTCTGGGTTGCCGATCTTAACAGTGCTTGCGAAATAAAATAAATAATTGTATCTACGGAGACACCCGGTGCATTCATTAGCTGCTTCACACTCATCGAGGAGTCTGTGATCACAGACACGTCAGCAAGTACAACTGATGAGTACATCATATAAACAATATAAACAATATTATTTACCCGTGTAGCTCACAGTATATTCTTTTGCAGCCTTAATTTACGAACGTTTCCCATTGCTTTTTTTTTTCTGGGTCACCCACACGGCCCCCACTCCCCCACCCCCGTGACCTCGAATAACCAAGGTCACGCAATTCCCTGCTTAAATGAGCACTGAGATGGTGACCATCTCCTGCTAACAGCTCTGGTGAAAGTATCGAGTATTTGTAGAAATTTCCACATTTGCTATGGGTGGGCACCAGTTTATCCGTCGAACAGTCACCGTTACAATTTCACGCAGATTTATCCCAGAGGGATGCTTAGCTAAGCAAGCTGAACCCCACAATAAACTTTGATCCATAACAGAGGTTTTTTGGTTTAGATCGCATCAATATATAAACGTGTCGTTAAAACCCTGCCACCACCCGACACAGCCAACTAGTAAGGGTTGTCACGTAAACAGAACAAGTTACTAGTTGGCTGCGTCGGGTGGTGGCGGGTTTTAACGGCACATTTATATATTTACGCGCTCTAACCCAAAAACCTCCATTATGGATGATATTGGTCGCGAAAGCCTTTGAACTCGCAGCCTTTCAATCACGTGGCACCCGCTCCGAGCCGCGTGCCACCCTGCTGTACAAACACATCAGGTGGCTAAATTGGTTGCTCGTGTCGGTGTGTGTTTGTGTTTGTGTCTATGATGAAGCAGACATTGTATTAACTATGACGAGTACGCGGCCTCGGAATGGCGGACAGCAGCAGGGCATCGCCTCACCTGCATCGCCACCCTCACCTGAACCCACTAGAGGTGAGCACGCACCCAGCCCTCCTGCCCTCACGTTTATTGTTCTCACCCCTCCCGACGCCTCCCCCACTGCCCCTCTGCAAATTACACCCCAAACAAGAAAGCAAAAAAAAACGTCGTAGGTAGTAAACGATTCATATGTGCCACCGTGCGTTCCAATGCTATGTAACTGCAATCTGTATTGTGTTGCATTGTACCTATGACAGACTGACCCTGTGTAATCTTATATCCGCAGCGCAAAACGAGGACGCAGTACAGGACACGAAGTGTCACTTGAAACTTCAGCAGTGCCCCATCTGCCACTGTTGGTACCCCTTTGGTGACATCATTTGGCATGCCAGTGCGTGCGGGGAGCACGGACAGCGTTTCGGGCCACTCTCGGCCGCCGAACACACGTGACCCCGCACGTTCATGTTAACGTACGTTGTGTCCACGTGAACAATACGCGTTCAACTATGAGCACTTCATTGGCGGGACGGGGAGCGGTGACTGTCACGAGCGATGCGATTTTCGTCCGGGGTCGAAGGCACGAAGCTCAACGCTACCCCTGGGTGGGATACTAGGCTTGGTGTGGCCAGAACGAGGCACAGAGGCCAACAAAAAGTCGAGACTATTGTTGGGTGGCAGCCGGGGCATGGCAGCACGGCATGAGATTCCTCACTCGCGTCGCCTCCCTCGTACCCGCGTGGATCTTCTACGGATACTGCAATTTCCTCCCACGTTCAAAATGCTACTTTTATCATATTTGCTAAAGTGCCGAAATGGAGGGCCCTTTTTTTTACAAATAGCCTCGAGATCCCAGTGAGGCCTTTTCTGGGTATATAAAAAACTGCATTATTTAGATTTTTTTTTATCTCCATTGGCAGCACAGAACCAGCCGCGAACATTTCAGGTTCCTACGTTGAGGGCCAGCCTCTGCTGAGGACCGCCACTGATTGATGCTGCACAAAGTTGTACTGCTTTTATCAGGCCCAGAGGGGGATGGGTTGGCTCATGACTCTTTTCCACCTTACAAAACTGAGCCGTGCCAGGATCATTGTCACATTTTATTAGGCAGCCATTGGAGCTATGTGCACTTTTAAATTTAGATTGAAAACTAATTTATTTAAAACTGCTTTGTTGTGTTTAGTTTCTTCACCCCCCCCCCCCCCCGCGCGCACCTCCAATGAGCACGGTTGGCTAAGCATGGTGCGAAAGAAGTTCAGCATACATATAAATATGGAAACTCTACATTCCTGTGACAGGGTTGAGTATGTTCATAGGACAACCAAAGGTTCTACTTTTCATCGTCATTATCATCATCCAGGATCCATCCACTGTTGGATAAATGCCGCCTCAAGCTACTGCCAATTGAACCTTATGGCGGGTCCCATAAGCCCCCGGCTCTCGCATAAACTGCGTTGCGACGTCATTTTACGTCTGCTGAAGGCGAATTATACGGCAATCTATTCCTCTCGACGAGCTCTACACGATGCGCCAATCAAAGTTTCAAAGTATTGTTTCTTCTGCGCATTCGTCCTCGCTGTGCATGGACACGACATGTCTACAGAATGATCCGCGCCAGGCGGGTCGCGGCGTTTACGTGCGCGGTGGGACGGAGTCGCCAAAATAAATTAACTCATTACGATTTTGACTTCCGTTTATTTGGGACCATGGGGCTCCGTCATAAGGTTAAATTATCGTCATCCAATTGTTGTCCTGTTCTCCTCGTTCAAGTCCTTCCACCACCCGTGAGAATGTATGCAGTGCGTTATTCTGATTAAGGATAATTTTGGATCCTTTCTTGAGTCCTCAAATCATGTAAATTATTGAATTTGTTACCATTTGACAAATCTACGTTTTGTATAAATGCTATATATTGTATAATATGTAAATAATGCGTTGTAAACAAATAATAAGAATAAACTGGCAAGTATATACACTGTATAATATGTACTTGTAATAAGTTTACTGTGCATATACACATCCACCCGCAGTGTGCTCGGTCTCCTTCCGAAGCAGAGTTTGACGCTGTTTTTGAGTTTGGCCACATGGTCATAATTTTCACGCCAAAAATATTGTCAATCACCCTCAACCCCCCGATAAGATCGTTACCATTGCACAGATATCATCCGTACTTAATCAGGAGTTTAATAACAAATAATAATTTAAGATTGAAACAATTACTGCTTATGATTACTTAATAAGGAGTAACTTAAGGGCTTCTTGAACACTTTGTGAGCTGCTTCTACTCAGATCCAAGATGGCGACGCCCAGCCAGTGACTCAATCAGATTGAGATTTTAGTCGGTTAACCTGCTAAATATATTTTTTAAGTTTTTAAGTTTTAGCGTTTAAAATTATATTTCATTTTTCAAAATATAAATAGAAACAACTGTTGTTTTATTCTTTGGGTCTTTCGGTAAAGCCACGTAGATAGAAAAAAGAAAAAGAAAAATCACTCCGTTTTGATCACAACACAAGCAATCGTCTTCAGGTGAAAAAGAGAGGGAAATCTGCTGAGGCAGGCTGTTTATAAAGGTTTACAGATGGGCGGGGCAGCTAATGTTAATGTAGGAGTGAGTAGGAGAGAGCGAGTAGAAGAGAGAAATTTGCTTGTAAATGTAAGCTCGGCAAGGGCCAAGCTTGGCTAGGGCGCGGACGACGCAGTGGCAAGCCGCCATTTACTAACACACCTAAAGGTTGACTGTGTTAGTGAATGTAACTCCGAGAGTCGAAAATAACTGCTAACATAGGTAGGTAGGATAGGAACATCACAGCCAGCTATGACCTAAACTGGTTAATAACGTCCTTCCAATGACTGCTCAGTTTGTACACATCTTCTCGTTTGAAATTGTGTCTGTGTTAATATATCTGGATGGCTTCATGAACGAATTTTTGCTGAGAGCCAGTGGGTTTTCAGAGTATCTTCGTCTTGCCAAAATTAATTTTGTGTGTACCCACTGCGTTAAAATAATGATCAGCCACGGCTGAGGTATTGGTCCTACCATGTTTCAGATCTGCCTTATGTTCAGGAACACGGTCCGAGACATGACGCTTAGTTTCCCCAATGTAACTGCTGCCGCAAACACAGCTTAGTTTGTAGACACCGGGGTATTGCATGTCAGGGATCACATCCTTCACAGGTGGGATCAAGTCACGAATTTTATGTACTGTGTTGAACCGTACCTGGATCGTGTGTTTGCTCATGATTTTGGAATTATTTTTGGTGACCCCTGCTATGTATGGCAAGGTGATGGTTTTGGTTGGGTCCTCAGATGGTTCTTTCCCAATGGTTGGGGTGATAGCTTTATGGATTGTGTAGTCTGAATATCCATTCTTCTTGAGGGCTTGGTGTACGTGCTCCAGTTCACTGGCTAGGTGGTGATGGTCGGAAATACGAGCTCTATGGTATAGAGTATTGATGAGGGAATTCTTCTGGGATGGATGGTGGTGGGAATCAAGTTTCAAGTTTCATTTATTAGGTATAGCCCTGTGAGCCATGCGGCTCTTGAGTCGGGTGCAACCGCAACAAACAAAATATGAACAAAGAACATCATAAAGCGACGACGCGCAACAGAAACAACCTGGATAAACCAGCAAATCTTCCAGAAAAAAAAGTATTACAATGCTGTGTACAAAAATCCTAGTGTGATGCAGGTCAAACAATAAAAACCATAAGACAATTTAGATTCAAGTTATCAGGACAACTCCGCACTTCCGCAAGAAACATGGCTTAACCATATGTTTTCGAAATCACCAAAATGAAGCTATAAAAACAATGTAACAACAATAATCATAGGAACTGTGATTCAAATTTAACAATAAACGATATACATAACATGTACGACCAAACTCGCAGCCATATCTGGCAGCATGACACTCCCAGTGTATGATGTGTGAGTGAGTCACGGCCTCCTCCCCGCCATCACGGCCTCCTCCACGCCATCACGGCCTCCTCCACGCCATCACGGCCCTCCTCCACGCCATCACGGCCCCCCTCCACGCCATCACGGCCTCCTCCCTGCCATCATCGCCTCCTCCACGCCATCACGGCCTTCTCCACGCCATGACGGCCTCCTCCACGCCATGACGGCCTCCTCCACGTCATCACGGCCTCCTCCACGCCATCACGGCCTCCTCTAGGCCATCACGGCCTCCTCCACGCCATCACGGCCTCCTCCACGCCATCACGGCCTCCTCCACGCCATCACGGCCTCCTCCACGCCATCACGGCCTCCTCCACGCCATGACGGCCTCCTCCACGCCATCACGGCCTCCCCACCATCACGGCCTCCTCCACGCCATCACGGCCTCCTCCACGCCATCACGGCCTCCCCACCATCACGGCCTCCTCCACGCCATCACGGTCTCCTCCACGCCATCACGGCCTCCTCCACGCCATCACGGCCTCCTCCACGCCATCACGGCCTCCTCCACGCCATCACGGCCTTCTCCACGCCATCACGACCTCCTCCACGCCATCACGGGAAAAACTGTCCCGAGTTGACTCGGACGCAGAAAAAAAACGCACGCAGGTGAAAGACACGGCACGAGGTCGAGTGCGGCGCTGAACAAGTCAGGTTTTAGGTAGGCATCCGTGTGGGTGGCTTTCCTGTAGACAGTGTCCCATTGAGCCATCAGGTTTCTTTTGATTAAAACATCCAAGAATGGTAACTTGCCATCCTTTGTCTCCTCCACAGTGAATTTGATCGCTGGGTGTATGGAATTGATGTGGTTGAATAATTGGTCCAGAGCTGGTAGGCCATGTGGGTCTTTCGGTACTTTGTGTCATCAGCGAGTAACTGTGAAATGCATAGCATGTCCCTAAAAGATAAATCGTGTAACTGCGAATTCGTGCTGCGAGTGGGCGCGTTTCACGAGGGACGCCTGTATTTGTATCCGCAAACAAATAAACAAGTGACGTTGAACTGTGTTGTGAAACAAAAATGTATCTATGCTTGTTAGTTGGAGTTAACGTGCTTTGATATGAATTGTCACCCCTGGCGCAGTCTTCACCCACATACTGCTTCCTGACCGTGTAGGAATTGGCTCAAAGAACACCAGAAAAAGGGCTTACGATGTTACCTCTGGGCCTTTCCATTCGAGCAAAATATGTGGCTATGCTGCTATAGGGCTTCTCACAAAGAAAAGTGTGAATCCTCTATTTATATGCTTTGAGCCGATATGCCGATAGCACAATGCGAATACAATTTGGCACGCCTTGAATCACAACACATACAGACATGCTGCGTGGCTACGAACCCTGGCTTGGCCCTTATAACAGCAGTTCTGCTCCAGACAACATACATTCATTTGTCTTTAGAACCGCTTTTTTGTGTTTAATTTTGATGACGTCACGCACCTAGGGGGGGGGTCAGACATTTGTGACGGTGTGTGACGATGTGTGACGAGGGGGGGGGGGTCAGAAATGTGACGTCACATCAAAATGCACAACTTAAAATAAATAGAATTGTTATAACAACACTAATTGTTATAACAACACTCCTACAACATCAGAGTGCAGCGCCACATTAAATACTCGAGGGAAAAAAGTATTTGATCCCCTGCTGATTTTGTACGTTTGCCCACTGACAAAGAAATGATCAGTCTATAATTTTAATAGTAGGTTTATTTGAACAGTGAGAGACAGAATAACAACAAAAAATCCAGAAAAACGCATGTCAAAAATGTTATAAATTGATTTGCATTTTAATGAGAGAAATAAGTATTTGACCCCTCTGCAAAACATGACTTAGTACTTGGTGGCAAAACCCTTGTTGGCAATCACAGAGATCAGACGTTTCTTGTAGTTGGCCACCAGGTTTGCACATATCGCAGGAGGGATTTTGTCCCACTCCTCTTTGCAGATCTTCTCCAAGTCATTAATGTTTCGAGGCTGACGTTTGGCAACTCGAACCTTCAGCTCCCTCCATAGATTTTCTATGGGATGTCTGGAGACTGGCTAGGCCACTCCAGGACCTTAATGTGCTTCTTCTTGAGCCACTCCTTTGTTCCCTTGGCCGTGTGTTTTGGGTCATTGTCATGCTGGGATACCATCCACGACCCATTTTCAATGCCCTGGCTGAGGGAAGGAGGTTCTCACCCAATATTTGACGGTACATGGCCCCGTCCATCGTCCCTTTGATGCGGT